GATGTAAAATTTTGTTTTTGTGCCTTAATTTAGCAACGGCCCCTTGAAAATCAGTCGTAATTCACCGAAGGGCCTACCGTTGTAAAATAAGATTAAATAATAAAAAAACTCAATACCCCACACCACGGCCAGCGCCTCCTTTTCAGTTTGCGAATAGCGTCGCTCGGTAGAGGTAAGAGCACGACCAGCATAAGCGACTATGTTTGGGGGTGATAGTAGTAGTGGCAGTGGCAGTGGCAGTGGCAGTGGCAGTGGCAGTGGCAGTGGCAGCGGCAGCGGCAGTGGCAGTGGCAGTGACTTGCTCCTTAATTTGACGATATATAAAAAACGGCCTCATCTTTCCAAATTAACAACGCACCCCAGTTTAAATACAATCTCGTGAGCTCCTAACCCATCGTAACTGACAGTAAGCTCAACACTAACTTAATCGTTGTGACGTCATTATTGTAAATATGAATGAATCCTTGTTTCGGTCACAAATATATATCTTTGATCTTGACCGTAATCACAACCCATCCCTAACCCTAGCTTTATTGTGCGCGAAACTTGAGAATCTAACCATAAACTTTTTTTAATCTTTCTATCCTACCGTTACTCTAAAATCTGTGACATCAGAACGATAATAGTATGGAAACTTGCACCCATTTTTGGAACCATTTCACTATAGACCACAATATCAGCCAATAATTATTTTAAGAGCACTCAGATTATTCAACGCTTTTAATTACACAACAACGATACACTGTATCACTATTAAAGACCACACATATACTTCAAACTGTCACAAGACCACAACTGTACAGTGCCGGTATGTACTATTTAAAACGCTAGCAGGAGTGCTTTATCAGATATAAAACACGTACCGCAGCTCGAATGTTTTATCTGATAAAGCACGGACTTTTAAATTAATTAATTAATTAAATTTAAAACTTTAACATCTCCCAAAAGGGCTTTTCAGATATTAATTACAAATGTCTAGACGAAGTCAATATTAATGTTAATAGATAACTAGTTAAAAACTAAGAGTCGTTTAAAAATTGTTTAAACAGATATGTTTTTAATGCTATTTTAAAACTTTTCACACTCTTTAAATTATTCGCGGATTTAACATTGTTAGGCAAGCATTCCACAACTTTACTGCTCTGAACAAAAATGAGCGTTGACCTGTCGCTGTTCGATACAAAGGCACATTCAGAGTATCCTTATTTCTTGTGACGCGTTCATGTATTTGCGACCTTGTAATGAACCTTTTCGTTAAATATTCAGGAGCATAGCCATTTAAGCATTTGTATGCCAACACCGTATCTCTGAAGAGTAATGTTGCATTTACTGGCAACCAACGAAGTTCTTTTAATAACGGCGTGACATGATCAAACTTTCTCGAATTCGTAAGAATGCGTGCAGCGAAATTTTGCACATTCTGTAACTTTTTCAAATTTTGCTTTGACGTGTTTGCCCAAACGGTCGAGCAGTAATAAAGTTTCGAGAACACGAGGGCATTTATAGCTGTTGAAAGCGATTTCTTAGTCAGGAGATGCTTTACACGATTTATTTGACATAAGCTTCCCGTGCATTTGGAAACTACGTCAGTTATGTGATTATCATAGCTCAAACATGAATCGAGGGTGACGCCTAAATCTTTCACCGATAATACCGGATATATCTCCTTCCCCAAGAGTGTGAGACAAAAATTTGCTGGAATTTTCTTAAGCATTTGAGGTGATCCTATCAACAACAATTTTGTTTTATCGGGATTCATTAACAAACTGTTTTGGCAGCTCCAGGCAGCAATTCTTTCCAAGTCCTCATTTAACTGGATTTTAGCACTTTCCACGTCCTTCACTGCGAAAGACAAGAACGATTTGGAATCATCAACGAATGACTCGAGTAAGCACGTATTGGGAACACCAGGTAGATCATTAATGTAAATATTAAATAGTGCTGGACCCAATATTGACCCCTGTGGCACACCGTGCGTTATTTCACGTGGTTCGGACAATTCACTATCAATCCGTACTGACTGGATCCTGCCAGTCAAATAGCTTTTAAACCACTCAAGAGCGTGTTTAGAAATTCCAAATGAATAGAGCTTTCTTAAGAGCAAAGGATGGTTCAAACTATCAAACGCCTTTGATAGGTCCAAAAGTATGACAGCAGTAACAGTTTTTTTATCAATAGCGTCCAGATATATATCCGTTAGGAATGTATTTAAAGTTTCCGTTGAATGAAGTTTACGGTTCCCACTTTGATGTTTTGTTAGGCGTTTTCTACTTTCCATATAATCATTCATTTGCTTGAGAGCCACCCGTTCACACACCTTTGAGAGTACCGGCAACAGCGAAATGGGGCGATTGTTATCAGCCACTTGGTAGTCTCCTTCCTTCAATACGGGGGTGACTTCAGATCTTTTCCACGCTGTTGGAAAAACAGAAGTCAGGAGGGAACTGTTAACTAAGTCTGTAATTATAGGAAGAATAAAGATTAACGAATCCTTAATAAGATTTACCGTAATTTTATCCCAACCAGGTGCTTTATTTGGTGAAAAATGATTAACGATCTGCCGTATTTCCTCCGAGGTGACCGCGTAAAATTTAAACTCATCAAATATCCCACTAACAGCGTTTTGAGAAAGCTGTAGTTGAAATAAATTATGCTCAGTTCCCAAATTCTCAGACAGATTCGCAGTACGTCGGCCAACTGTTGTGAAATATTCGTTGAATTCCTCGGCAAGTAACTTCTTATCCTTGGTATATACGGGTTTCGTCATCTCTTTTCTAGGAATGCATTTCCGTATGACTTTCCACATAGCATTGCTGCTATGGTTTTTCTCCAACTCTTTATTTACATATTTTCTTTCAGATTCCCTCAGCTTTCTTTTGACATCATCACGCATCATTGTGTATTGATTCCAATCACGTAGGGCTCCAGTCTGTCGGGCTATTTTGTACATTTTATCTCTCTTACTCATAAGTTCTTTCACGTTTTGGTCTATGAAAGGCATAGACCGATATTTCAATTTTGTAGTCTTCAGTGGTGCGTGTTTATCCAAAACTGCGAGAAAAACGCGATTAAATTGATCGACTTTGTCATTAACATCATCTGTACATAGGATGTCTTGCCAGGAAATTTGGACTAGATCATTCTCTAAGTGTTTTGGCTGATATTTCTTATAGCTTCGTGATGTTGTATAAATAACTGGTGGCTTGGGCAATTTCATATTAACGCACGTATCAATTAAATGGTGATCGCTGACGTGAGTCTCAATAACTCTAGTCTCTTTAATGATGGCTGTATTCGATGTCATAATTACGTCGATTAGCGAAGACGTAGTAGGTGTAACACGCGTGGGAAGTGTTACCAACTGCGATAGATTTAAAATAGAACATAGATTATAGAAAGCATCAGATTCAGGCGAACATTTTAATAAGTCACAGTTTAAATCTCCTGCAACCATCACCTCTTTACCATGAGTGAGGGCTTGGGTATACGCATCAGTAAATTCATCAACAAAGTGGGAGACTGGAGAGTCGGGAGGTCGATAAGTTACACATAATAGGAACGATCTTATTTTCTTATGTTGGATCTGCAACCAAAGCTGATGAAAACCAGATGGCGAAATTCCCGTCAAATCTTTCAAAATCTTTACTTTTAACGAGGCCCACGTATAAACACAAACACCTGGCTAGTAAACATAAAAGCCCGGTTCACATATACCTACTTACACCTGCGGTATGTCGGCTGGCTATTGACAACAACTGCTCTAAAAAGCTGTGAACAATGATAGCGCAGGTATACCGCAGGCATATATGTGAACCAGGCTAAAGAAAGAGTAAAGTAAAGTGCTTAGCTGATATTTTACTTCGCTTGAATATACTTCTTCACCAAATTGCCTTTCTTTTGATTTTACTGAAGTGAAGTCGATCGTTTAAGAACTGAATATCGAACAACATGGTCATGGAGCAAAACTTGCATCCAAGGACGTCAAATTAAAGCCACGTTACTTCGAAAACTCCAGGGTTATCAAAAAACCTGCAAACACTATAATTTGCACAGCCTGCGAACAGGCTCTCAAGCTGAATTGAGAGCCTGCATCAATGACTAATGAATTTGAATATCTGCCCCGTAACGTTCGTTTTTCCAAATATGGAATGTCTTTCCTTATATGGTGTTGTTTACAACTATCGTGCAAACTAAATTTAGACCGTGCAAACTAAATTTAGACCGTACAGTTTATACTGTTTTTCGAAATATAAGATATTCAAGCAAAAGTTCAAATGTTTTAAACACTGTTTTCTCAAAACAGAACATTTCGTGCTTTGAGATAAGACGGCCAAGACCAATTTGATCAGTTAATGTGTTTTTATACATAGTGCTTCAGCAGTTGACACATATAGAGCTCAGCGGAAACATATAAATTATATCATCTGACCAATGAGAATTTCGCGTCACGATTTGAGACGCAGATATTCAAATTCATTAGTCATCGATGCAGGCTCTCAGAATTCAGCTTGAGAGCCTGTTCGCAGGCTATAATTTGCATAATTCTGCTGCTTACCAGCATTTCAATGTTTGTGCTACTTATTTTGCTCCTGGGATTTGAAAATACATTCTAACTAACCGCGTTGATAGAAATTAGAATACAAAAAGTTATTTGTAACGCAAAAAACTAATTATCAGTTCGACTGCGAATGGTCAACTATTGTGTTTACGCATGCTCCCAAGCTTAGTTCTGAATCATGCAAATTCTAAAAACATTGTACAGGAACACCGCGGAAAAACGTCTGCGCATGCACCAAATTATGAAAATATGGCGGGGAATTTGAATATCAATTTCTAAAACAAAAAAATGCTTATTAATTGGTCAAAAATTTGTAAAACAAACGAGAAAATATAGCAAATGGGTAGACTAGACATTAAATGAAAGCGTCCTGGCA